AAAGTGCAAATTTCTATTGAAAACTGTACTTTTTTTTTTTTTTTTATTAAAAAATTATGTCATACCCTTCACAAATCAAGCTCTTTAGGGTTCTTGAGTGTCTCTATAAGATCAATAAAGCGCTAATTTGGATAGATGATTGTAAATCAACTATATCAATCTTACTTTAAATTTTAAAAACTACTCTATGATTTAACCAAAAAAGTTACTAGTTAATACCACCAAAAGGGGTAACAATGTTAGCTGACACTAGCTACTAACCTTTGTTGGTGGTGAGAATGGGGAAGGGCATAGTTGCAAATATTGCCCTCAGTCCTCATAGGCAGCCTACAGTCCTGTGACATTTTTGGACTTCATTACCTCTCATCATTCCCAGTGTAAAGAGAGTAGTAGGGGTTATAGTTCACAAATTGCCTGAAAGTTACAAAGTACTCAAACCTGTTTAGAAAAAAGTGAATCAATATTTAATGAGATCTTATAAAGGGTTAGAGAAATATTTCACCCTAGCAGCCAAGCCAGACATCACATGGGCTTCTGTGCATTCACCATGTTCTTGTAATCAATCATTGTTATGAACTGACAATGCATTAAGATGTTCAGGTTTCAGGCTGCTTAGCAATAAAACAAAATCAGGGATTACAACCAGAACAGGCAACAAGTTTGACACCTTTGTGCATGTAAACCTGCTGTCAGTCTGAACAAAATATTCACATGTTACTTCCAAAGAGAATTTCCTATGCCTGCTGAAACAGCCACATTGTAATAGATGAAAAGGTGGGTCTAAGTAGGTAGCTAGGTAGCTAGATAGAATAATATTGGAATTGAAACGGTGCCATTTATTTGTCTTGATTTTACACCCTTAATTATTCTCTTCTTATAACTTCTTTGTAAGAATCTCCATTTGATGTCTTCTGTTGTATTCAGCATTCCAGTTTGGGTTAAATTAAAAACTTGTTGAAAATGTATAACATGGGAATTAGAAATGCTATAGACCAAAAAATGCAAGTCTCTGCAGAACTGCTAGTGTTGCCACCATAGTCAATGATGGGCTGACAAAGCAATTGTAGCTAGTGCCACTTTAAAGGACCACTCTAGGCACCCAGACCACTTCAGCTTAATGAAGTGGTCTGAGTGCCTGGTCCAGCTAGGGTTAACCCATTTTTTCATAAACATAGCAGTTTCAGAGAAACTGCTATGTTTGTGAATGGGTTAAGCCTTCCCCCTAATCCTCTAGTGGCTGTCTCATTGACAGCCGCTAGAGGCGCTTGCATGCTTCCCACTGTGATTTTCACAGTGAGAGCACGCCAGCGTCCATAGGAAAGCATTATGAATGCTTTCCTATGTGACCGGCTGAATGCGCGCGCAGCTCTTGCCGGTAGTTAGCTAGATAGAATAATATTGGAATTGAAACGGTGCCAATGCATTCCACAGCACTGTCCAATATTATTAAGGGGACTTTAACAACAAATGAGAAAAACTATTACACATGTTCACAGGAACAAGCACACAATAAATCGGAAGGGATTGATAGACAGACAGACAGAACGATTAGATTAGATTAGACCTGCATATTTGGTGGTCCTGCCCCAACATTACTAGATTCTGGAAACAAATTCATAATACAATAAAGGCATCCCTGGACACTTTGGGAAGGGGGAACATTACTGTAACACATGCGCAGTGAGTGTTTTGCCAGGAGGGACGTTTTGATACCATGTTCAAGTTTGGCAGGTTAAGATAAAGGAAAATGCAGAGCACTTACCAATCAGGAGCTCTCCTGAGGTAGGTTGTGCAATGCTAAACCCTTCAGGGATTAGCTCAGAAAAACTAAATGTAGTTTAAAGGGTGGGACATCCTGGAGTGTGATACCAGACGGGAAATCAGCAGGGTAACTCCTGGTAATATTCCTAGTGGCATCCAGGCAGGCAGTATAACCACTAAGGATGCCCCTCTTAACGTGCACCACCACCTTATATGGCAAATGCTGGCAAGTTTAACAGGGGGGGGAATGGAGAGGAAGGAATATAAAAGAAGCAATTGTCTCCCTGTAGCGATGCCTATGCAAATGCATGTTATTTATTGCCTTAATTCTTTCAGGTGCTGCTTTCAAGTCACAAATATAACTTTCAATTGTACATATTCTTTCTTCTTTCGTTTGTATTCCAGATGTGTATCTCTATGTCATTTATTTGTCTTGATTTTACACCCTTAATTATTCTCTTCTTATAACTCCTTTGTAAGAATCTCCATTTGATGTCTCCTGTTGTATTCAGCATTCCAGTTTGGGTTAAATTACAAACTTGTGGAAAATGTATACTTTACATCTGATGACAATTACAATTATACAGTCACGGTAAAAAAAAAGAAAACCGTCTTTAAATTCTATGGTTTTACATATAAGTACATAATAACAATCATCTGTTCCTTAGCAGATCTTAAAATTAGGGAAATACAAGCTCAGATGAAGAACACATGACATATTACAGTGTGTCATTATTTAGTTAACAGAAATAAAGCCAAAATGGAGAAGCCATGTGTGAAAAACTAAGTACACTCTTGTGATTCAATAGCTTGTAGAACCATCTTTAGCAGCAATAACTTGAAGTAATCATTTTCTGTATGACTTTTTCAGTCTCTCACATCAATGTGGAGGAATTTTGGCCCACTCTTCTTTATAGCGTTGCTTCAGTTCATTGAGGTTTGGTGGCATTTGTTTATGGCACAGCTCTCTTAAGGTCCTTCCACAGCATAGCAATGAGGGTTGAGGTCTGAACTGCAACACCTTGATTCTTTTCTTTTTCAGATTGGGCAAATAAGGGAGTTGAAAGGTGACGTTCACTATCAATCCCTTAAGTGGAGCGCTGTATGAATACACTCACCCTTGAAACAGGGATATAGGTAATCCAAAATATATATATGAAAAAATGGAGAAAAAATCTAATGGTGAAGTATGTATAGTACTTAAAATAATATGTAAAAATATAAAATACAAACTCACAAGTAAAGATCCAAGTATAGGACTGGCTCAAATCACGATCACTTTGGTGTATTTATGTGATACTCTTCCCTCTTCTTGTTCCTTCTCATATACTCAAAAGAAAGCACAGGGGAAAAAATGGGCCTCTAGTGTAATAAGCCAAACACCATGTGAGAAAGAATAAACCAAATAGGTTTTGCTCACCTTTACCAGAGCCATGAGGTAGATGGAGTTGGATTAATTAATTTAGACATATACACAAAAAGTGAATAAAACAAAAAACAATAAAATAATGTCCACAATAAGGCTTATCTTCCTTCAAGACGCGTTTAGTCCTTCCCTCTGGCTTTCTCAATCGAAGTCCCATTGGCTGTAGACTACATCTACCTCAAACAAACAAGGGCTACCCCCTTTAGTGGGTAACAAGCTTTTATACCCAGAGCCAGGTTAGCTTAATTGGCTCTGGTAAAAGGTGAGCAAAACCTTATTGTTCTGTTGCATGACCCAATTTCGGCCACGCTTTAGCTGTCAAACAGATGGCCTCACATTTTACTCTGGAATACTTTGGTATACAGACAGGGCCGCCATCAGGGGGTGACAACCGTGACAGTTGTCACGGGCCCGGCGGCCCTGGGGGGCCCGGACTGCTCTGGCAGTCCTGGGCCCCACTTTCCCTTTCTGCACACATAGATAGCGCATATCGCTATCTATGTGTGCAGCCGCGGGCCCCCGGCTCCCTGTTACCGTAGAGGGGGCCCAGCCAGGCAGCACACAGCTTCTCCTCCTGTCTTCTCTCTTCTCATAACTCTCGCGAGACCCGCGGAGCGTTGCCATGGTAACCGGGTCTCGCGAGAGTTATGAGAAGAGAGGAGAAGCTGTGTGCTGCCTGGGCCCCCTCTGCGGTAACAGGGAGCCGGGGGCCCCCCCACCGGACCACCAGGGATGGAATCTCCCCCCTCCATGGACACAGGTAAGCAGGGAGGGGGGAGAAACATTTAATTAAATTAATAAAAAATTAATGTTAAAATGCCCCTTCCTCCCCCTCACCCCAGATCACACACTAACAACACACACTGCATACAATAACACACACATACACTGCATACACTAACAACACACACTGCATACACTAACACACACATACACTGCATACAATAACACACACATACACTGCATACACTAACACAACACACACACACTGCATACACTAACACACACATACACTGCATACACTAACACAACACACACATACACTGCATACACTAACACACACACATACACTGCATACACTAACACACACATACACTGCATACACTAACACAACACACACACTGCATACACTGCATACACTAACACAACACACACACTGCATACAATAACACACACATACACTGCATTCACTAACACAACACACACACTTCATACAATAACACACACATACACTGCATACACTAACACAACACATACACTGCATACACTAACACACACACATACACTGCATACACTAACACAACACACACACTGCATACACTAACACAACACATACACTGCATACACTAACACACACACACATACACTGCATACACTAACACACACATACAATGCATACACTAACAACACACACTGCATACAATAACACACACATACACTGCATGCGCTAACACACACATACACAAACACAACACACACACTGCATACACTAACACACACATACACTGCATACACTAACACACACATACACTGCATACACTAACACAACACACACACCCATACACTAACACACAACCACACTGCATACACTAACACACATACACTGCATACACTAACACAACACACACTGCATACACTAACACAACATACACTGCATACACTAACACAACACACACTGCATACACTAACACAACACACTGCATACACTAACACAACACACACTGCATACACTAACACAACACACACTGCATACACTAACACACACACACACACTGCATACACTAACACAACACACACACTGCATACACTAACACACACATACACTGCATTCACTAACACAACACACACACACTGCATACACTAACACACACTGCATACAATAACACAACACACACACTGCATACACTAACACACACATACACTGCATACACTAACACACACACTGCATACACTAACACACACTACCTGCATTCACTAACTACACTGCATACACTAACAACACACACTGCATACAATAACACACACATACACTGCATTCACTAACACAACACACACACTGCATACACTAACACACACTGCATACAATAACACAACACACACTGCATACACTAACACACACACACACTGCATACACTAACACAACACACACACTGCATACACTAACACAACACACACACACTGCATACACTAACAAAACACACACACTGCATACACTAACACAACACACACACTGCATACACTGACACACACATACACACACTGCATACACTAACACAACACACACTGCATACACTAACACACACACTGCATACACTAACACACACACACACTGCATACACTAACACAACACACTGCATACACTAACACACACACACACTGCATACACTAACACACACTGCATACACTAACGCAACACACACTGCATCCGCTACACTAACACACACTCTGCATCCGCTACACTAACACACACTCTGCATCCGCTACACACTAACACACTCTCTGCATTCACTACACATTAACACTGCATTCACTACACTAACACACACTCTGCATCCGCTACATACTAACACACTCTCTGCATTCACTACAAATTTACACACACTATGCATTCACTGCACTAACACACACACTACATTCATTACACTGACGCACTCTGCATTCACTACACACTAACACACACTCTGCATTCACTAAACTATGCACCCACTCTGGATTCACTATACTGACACACACTCTGCATTCACTACACTAACATACACTCTGCATTAACTGTACACACAGCATCCACTACACAAACATCCTGTATTCACAGTACACACACTACATCCACCACAAATTGAAACACTCTGCATTCACTATACACAGACACTGCGTCTGATACACACACTACAGACACTGCATCCACTAAACACATTTCATCTAGTACATACAAACACTACATCCACTACACAAACACACACTACATCACTGTACACACACTACATCCACTACTCAAAAACACTCTGCGTTCACTATACATACTGCATCCGCTACACAAACACACACTCTGCATTCATTGCACAAACAGTATCTAATACACACAAACACTACATCCATTACACACATTCTAATTCACTTCCACTATACACACACCACATTCAGTCCTGCATCATTGTGAGCGGACTAGGTAGGGCGTGGGCGGGCCCGCGAGGAGGGGGGTGGGGCCCAGACCTTGTGCTTTGTCATGGGCCCCAAATTTTCTGATGGCGGCCCTGTATACAGAGGAGTTCATAGTCGACTATATGACTGCCAGGTTCCCAGGTCCTGTGGCTGCAAAACAAGCCCAAATGTTTGACAGTCAGTATAATGTGTTGGTGCTGATATGCTGTGTTTGATTTTCGCCATCATGATGCTTTGCATTATGGCCAAAAAACTCCACTTTAATTTTGTTCCAGCAGTCTTGTGGTTTGTTTAGATGCAACTTTGCAAACCTAAGCTGTGCTGCCACGTTCTTTTTAGAGAGAAGAGGCTTTCTCCTGGAAACCCTCCCAAACAAACCATACTTGTTCAGTTTCTAATTGTACTGCCATGAACTTTAACATGCTGATATGTAACTCTTGTTTTTTTTTGGCATATGTTTGAGCATTGCATGGTCTGATTTTGGGGTGAGTTTGCCAGGATGTCCACTTTTGCGAAGATTGACAGCTGTCTTGAATGTTTTCCACTTTTGAATAATCTTTCTCACTGTAGAATGGACTATTTTTTTTGGAAATGGCCTTTTAACCCTTCCCTATTTGATGGGCAGCAACAATTGCTTCTCTAAGATCATTTTTGATGTCTTTCCTCCTTGGCTGTGATTAGCAGCAAACGTCTGCTGCTTAGCCTCTTTTCTAATTCCTATAGAAGCAGAATGTACTTAATTTTTCACACATAGTTATTATTATTATTATTACTGGTATTTATATAGTGCCAGCATATTCTATAGCGCTTTACAATATTATCAAAGCAGGGAGATTTAACAATAAATGAGACAATTACAAAAACTTACAGGAACAATAGGATGAAGAGGGCCCTGCTCAAATGAGCTTACAGTCTATAGGAGGTAGGGCGTAAAACACAACAAGGCAGGAGGTAGCAATTAAACAAGGTGGAGTGAAGCAGAGCTGGAGGAGAGAATAGAGTGCTGCCCTTTAGGAGAGAGCATGAGACAGATATGTGAGGTAGAGGTTACTCTGGGAGGCCACATGCTTTCCTAAAGAGATGGGTTTTGAGGCACTTTTTAAATGATTGAAGACTAGGGCTATTTCAAAGGAAAGGAGCCACCCGCGTGAAGTCCTGCAAGCTTTAGTTGGCTGTATGGGTGCGAGCATCGGACAGGAGAAGGTCATGGTAAGAGCAGAGGGTCCGGGAAGGGGCATAACCGCAGAAATATAGAAGGGGCTAGAACTGGTCAATGCTTTATAGGTGTGGACTAATACCTTGAATGGACTCCTATAGGATACAGGAAGCCAATGTAAGGAGTGACAGAGGGGAGAAGTGTGAGAAGAGCGACAGGAGAGGAAAATCAGTTTAGCTGCCACATTCATTACAGACTGTAGCGGGCAATACGGCTTGTGGGAAGACCTATTAGGAGAGCGTTACAATAATCCATGCGAGAGATTACTAGAGCATGGACAAGCTCCTTAGTAGCAGCTTGTGTAAGAAAGGGGCGGTATCTACAGGATTTGGTAACAGACTGGATGTGAGACTCAAATGTGAGGCCAGAATCAAATATAACACCAAGACAGCGTGTTTGCAAGAATGGACTGTTGTGGGTACCACTCAGTTGAATGAAGAGCGAAAGAGCAGGATCAGTATTAGGAGGAGGAAAGACAAGGAGTTCAGTTTTAGAGAGATTGAGTTTCAAAAAGTGGGAGGACATCCAATCAGAGATGGAAGAACGGCAAGCAGTGACACGTTGCAGGACAGCAGGGAGAGATACCGGGGTGGAGAGGTATATCTGAGTATCATCAGCGTACAGGTGGTATTGGAATCCAAATGAGGTAATGAGTTTGTCAAGAGAGGCAGTATAAAGAGAAAATAGAAGGGGACCAAGTACAGAGCCTTGGGGGACTCCAGCAGAGACAGGATGAAGAGGGGAGGTATCATTAGAAAAGGAGACACTGAATGAGAGTTGGGAGAGATAGGAGGAAAACCAAGAGAGGACAGTGTCACAGAAACCGAGTTTCTCCATTTTGGCTTTATTTTCATTAAATAAATCATGACACAGTGTAATATGTCATGTGTTGTTGTTCATCTGAGGTTGTATTTTCCTAGATTTAAGATCTGCTAAGGAACCGATGAAAGATATATATATATATATATATAATGAATAAATAAATAAATAGGCAGACTAATAAATAGATAGACAGACATAGAAAGATAGAGAAAGACAGAATAAGAGACATACAGAATGTGAGATCCTTAGACCAAGTATAACTACTCTTTCACTTTTTTTTCTGATCTATCTGCTGATAATGCATTTTTTTTTTACTTATGGCCTCTGTCAGAAATTGGCACATAAATCTGATTTTCTCTCTTTATGGGTGTCTTTGCCTAATGCTCATTTGTGTGCGGCAGATTAACATTAAATGAACCAATGGCCTAAGAATATGCCATTAGCAGCAAACTATGCACTAAAACCCGTACCCTCAATGAAAAATAAATAAATAAATAAAATGGAAACTGGTCTCAGGACCTCATCATATCTTAGAACGTCTCTCATTGTAAAAATGAAAAATAATCATGATAAAATCGCTAGTTTATATTTCCTTTGAGAAAAATAATAAATTTTTCTTCAAAATGGATGTAATTCTCTACCAATTGCCATTATATAATATTAACGACATGGCAACGGCTATATATATTTTTTTTAGAAATAAAACTCAGATCACAAAGCTTAGGTCCATGTGGTAAGATGATAAAATTGAGCAAAAAGTAATCTGTCAAAGTTAGGAGAACTGAACCTTATTAAGGATAAACTCCTTAATGGGCAAAAAAACAAAACTCCCCCTAATTTTCTATGTTCAAAGTATGTCTGTACAACCTCTGGAGCTAGCATTTACTTTGCTGCAATAGAGAACCTACCCTTGCTCCAGCACTGAAACACATATTGAATTAAAACCATCAAAACCATGCTGTTATTATTAACCTCGGTTTTGAGAATATCTGCAGAACATCTTAAGGGGTAAAGGGGATCTATAATTCCACAGGGATCTCCTCTGATAATGTTAAAGTGTCTCCCAGGATACTTGTCTAACTAAACCAGCAACATCACCCCTGCAGCTTCTTCTCTGGAGGAGATCTCGACTCCCTCAATCTTACGTTTCCTAGAAAACTGCAGGATTGGGTCCCCTGCAGTGACAATACTTTAGCTGAAATTGAGAAGAACATGACATTACATCTTTGGACCCTGCTGATTCTGAGCCTGTGTTAGTGGCATCTTTATAAAACTGGGCTATGTTTTGTTGGGTTACTCATTATAACAGCAAGTTTCTTACATATTTTTACATATTAAAACACGAGTTGAAGTGTTCTTTGTTTTGTTTTCAAGCACGTTTCCTGTCTTAGGTCTGGTGGGACAATGCTGATTTGGAACCCCAAATTACATGCCAAAGACTATGCAAAACCACTGCACAACCTTCTGCCCATGTGTGAGGGTAGATGATGCTCTGTGCAGAGGCAAATCGGATTGGCCGGCTCACAAAGCTGTATGTTAGTTAACTACATAAGTGTGCCAAAATGCTCACTTTTTGGACATGCCTCCTGACGTGTCACGTTTATGTCCATTCTGTGGTAATATTTATATGCAAATGTCTTATTGATCACCGCTCAACCAACAAAAATATATATGACTCAAGAGAGGTGCATCCATTATACAAATGTTTATTTGGAAATAACACAGAGCATACTAACTACAACACACATATATACCACACATATATACTGTGAGGGGAAAAAGTATTTGATGCCCTGCTGATTTTGAACGTTTGTCCACTGACAATGAAATGATCAGTCTATAATTAGAGTTGAGCGGACACCTGGATGTTCGGGTTCGCCGGGTTCGGCCAAACTTCGGCAAAAAGTTTGAGTTCGGCCTTGAACTTGACCCAAACTTGACCCCGAACCCGAACCCCATTGAAGTCAATGGGGACCTGAACTTTTGGGCACTAAATGGCTCTAAAAAAGTCCTTGAAAGGGCTAGAGGGCTGCAAAAGGAAGTAAAATGGGGGTAAGAGTAGGACAAGTGCCCTGCAAACAAATGTGGATAGGGAAATAACTTAAAATAACATAAAATACATACAAATTTAAAATAATAATCTTGAATTAGGAGGAGGAGATGGATGTGGAGTAGGGGGTTGAGGAGGTGGTGACCGTGGCGGTGTAGGTGGAAGCGGTGGTTGAGGCGGAGGAGGTAGCCAACACTGTTTTTTATTTTTTGTTTTTTTTAATTGGGGTAGCCCCCAAAATATCGGGACATATAAAAAAAGAAAACAAAGAATAAGTGCACTTGAGTATAACAATGGCTGGGTGAGGCCGGTATAAATATCTATTCTGCACAAGGTACAGACAAGTCTG